GAAAAATGGTGTGCAGTAGCCATTTCATCTTCGCGAATTGACACTTTTGGGCCTGTCTAAAAAGAGTACGTGTTTTTTTAGCACCCAATCAGCTCTTGGACCCTGCATATGATATAATTGATTATACGTGTTGAAATTGTCTGCGTATTAATTATTATTTTTTAGGTTGATTATCACATCAACTTTTAAAACTACGACATTTTTTATCATTTTAACTCTTAATATTTTTTACATTATAATTTAATTCTTAATTTCTATTTTTTCAAGCATGCAGTTTATAAACTTTCATGAAGTCATATTTAAATAATTTAAAAAAATAATCCAAAAAATATTTTTTACTAATTAATAAATTAATAATAGCAATTAAAAATAAAAATAAAAATATTATTACTATATTAATTAAATTAATTAATCAATGTTATTTTTTAAATTTTTTTTTTTTTAACGCATGTTTACCCCTAAACATTTTAATTTTAAAAGACACTTTTAAACTAACCCATCAATGAGCAGCTCTTAGTTCCTAAATACGGCAAACAAATGCCCCACACCTTTTATTCTTCCAAGTTTGGAACCGGCTTATATTCTGCTCTGCCCTCTCAATAGAGTAGTCAAATGTTTCCAAAAATAAATCCAGCTACCATCCATACTAATAACCTGGAAGAATCCATCTCCAATAACGCTGAATCACCTCTTTTACACTGGACTATGACATGGTAACCTAAAACAGATACTAACTCGAAAAGAAACACATTTCTTTTTCTTACACATAAACAAACTGCCCATACCGTTGGAGCAAACTAACATCCCGAAGTACTGGAGTCCCTAGCTATACATTCAGCTGAGTAATTATCTAAGGGCACATTCAACGGGACGGATACCTTCTGCCAACCACGCGATAGTCATCAAGCTTATCAATATGCTGCATGCATAAAAAATGCAATTAGATTTTGACGTAAATGCTGTCCATTCATTGACTCAGATCATATCCACTGAACAGATAACAGGGAATCTGCTCCACGGGATGCATTCAAGATGGTTATGTGTGAAATTTATCTTTTCTGAATTAACTATCTCAAAATGATGAGCAGAAGCATATACTCTCTTGTCACAGGGGTATATGCATATGGAACAGTTGTCTGTATGAAACCAAGCAAATAATGCATATCTGTTCTTGCTTACGTGTGTTTATGAGGGATAAATGATCAACAGATTGGAAAATATGTGATAAAATGTTTACATGCCATCTGTGTGTGTAAGAGTGAATGCATGTATGTGTTTGTGAGAAAGAGAGAGCAAGACAAAGCACCTCATATAATGAATAACTTCTAGAGCCTCCGACATAAGAAGGTCGACCAGCAGAGCCTACAGAAAGAATGTATCAAAGGAGAAAGAAATCAGTCACACAAGGTATTGTTCATGAGTCATGATGAAAAACTTAACAACAGATTTCAACTGAAAAAGAAAGTGTTTGGGGAGATAAATCCTAAACCATGCACAATCATAACAAAATAAAACAAATAAAAAAGAACACACAAAATTTAACGTAACTCGACAGTGTGCCTATATTTACAGATAAAACTAACAAGAAAATTTTCCACTGATAATTTGAGAAAATATATCACCAATAGGTCAGTAAACTTATATATAGAGAGACTACTAGAGTTTTTCTCAAACAAAAACTCTTCAAGATATATATTAAATATTTTTTAGAATAAATATAAAATATCTCCAAGATAAAATATCCATTATGATAAAAATAAACTCTCTCCCAAAATATATATAAGTATCCCTAAAATTCAAGCCACATCAATAGAAAATCATTTAATCAAAAAAGGAGAACGAAAAATGTGAAACAGTTAGAAACAGTTCCATCAGAGGTTCCAGAATTTAACAAGGTACATGTTACACCCGTTACATGCAAATACAAGGAATTTCCATCCAACCTAAAGTGTCAGTCAGTCACCATAAGAAGAAAACTGTAAAAGCTGGTTATTTGACTCCTTTATGGCAAACAATTCATACTATAAACTCTAATAAACTTCTACAACCACAGGCTTATATTTATCTAATTAATTGTGTCTAGGTTTAAGGACTACATCAGAAAAGAGAAAGAAAGTATTTAGTATCTCCTTGCTCCCCGAAATAAAAGACAGTCAAATAAGAGACAAAGTAATCTCTCTACAAATTGGCTTCATTAAGATGTGGTACAACAGTTTAAGACGAAAAAGGTGGGGTGCATGATGTTCGCATGACGTTACTAAACTTCAGGTGCTAAAGGCAAAATAAATTTCTCAAGATCCAATTTACTACCTTCTCCATAAGAATGTCTTTGGTTTCCTGGGCCATTATAGTCATCAATCCTGTGGACAAGTTGGAAAACCAAGAAACCGAGGAAATCAATCAATACATACATACACATACTTGGAACTCAAGTGGAAATGGTAAATATGCAGAAAAAAAAACCTTATTGGCCTATAATCAGAAACATGGAATCGTTGTCTTTTAACAGCAGGCGCAGTATATCCTGCATAAGGTAGATTTTCTTCTACAAGTGCAGGTTGAAGATATGCAGCATGAGCAAGGCCTTCCCTTCTTAAGGCATCATCGGGATGCCTTGCATACAGTTGTCCTTGGTGTTGAAAAGCAGGTTCAAGACGTCGATCTCGTTTCCGAGATGGTTCTAGGAAGCCAGCATGTGGTTCCTGGGAAGAGCCATCAGATGTAATCAAATCAGCAATAATGGCAGCACAAATTAAAAATACACAGAACTTGGAATTTACCATATCGGAGTTGTGTCTCTTGGACCCAGAGATGGCACCCTGTGCGTGGCCATGACTATCATGTCTCATTGTGGATGCAACATATCCTGGTGTGTACGGCATTCTCTGGCCAACAGAATGTATTCCATGGACAAGTTGTTTCCTAAAGTGAGGGCGGCTCAATGTATCCCTATGAAAATGAACTTCCTTACCTGTTGGAGCCCCCAAATATTTAGCATAGATACAATGGTTCTGTGGCTACTGCCTACTCAAAATGAAATACCAGAACACTGCAGCATGTAACTACCTTGCGGTTTCTTTGGAGGCCTGTTTCCCCTTTCTCTCATTCTGTGATGGCTGCTTTTTTGAGGAAAATTCTCCCTCTTGGAATCTGCCATTTTTGGTTTGGATGACATCCTACTATCTTTATTTTCAGCAACACTCTTTCTTGGTCTGACGCTACTTTTTAACTTTGAAGAAGCCCCATTCTTTTCTACAGCAAGTCCCCTGCTGTCCTTCTTACTCCTCTTAGATTCAGCACCTCCAAGATGTTGATCCTTTTCATTTGCTTTTGTAGCCTTCACAGATTCGGTATCATCTTTCAGCTTCAGTCCAGATGCTTTTCCAATATTTTCTTCGACCTTGAATCCTCCACGTGCAACCCCACCATGGGGCTTTGCAATTTCGGCTTTAAGCTGAGATAGATATCCACAAACATCCTGCTTTAAAAGAACTAAAAAAAGGAAACAAATGCACATCCCCCCCCCCCCAACCAAAAAATAATAAAACAGAAAGAAAAACACGGAAAAGAGTTAAAAGGCATCATCTCTTATAATCACCTTTCTTTCTCCTCCTAACTGGGAACTGTTAATCCCTTCAACACAAGCTAGTGCACTTTCTTGAGAAGCAAAAGTAATAAATCCAAAATCCTTGCGCCAGTTACCAAACTTCTTGGGCAACTTTACATTTTTAATTTCCCCATACTGCTTACACATCTCTTCCAGTTTCTTTACATCCCAAGACCTTGTTAGCCCCTTAATATAAACAGTTTCCACCTGCAACACGATAGGCAATAATTTATATGGTTTAAGTTACTGACACTATAGATATCAATAATTTGAGCTCATAATTATCCTTGGGAAGCTAGAATTCTTGCTGCAGTCAACCGTTAAGAGTTTGGTTCTCCCACAAGTCATAAACAACCTAGACCCTGGGAACATCTATAATGCAAAGTACAAAATCATTGTACTTGTCCAGATTTCAACTTCACTAGTTTACATGAGCTAAATATCCAATTGTGTTGTATCATATATAACCATAGCGGGAACATCTATAACTCAGATGATAATTTAGATGATACAGAAGATTCTCAAATTAGTCAGCGTGGTTGTCATTTCTAAAAGGCAAAGTACAAAAACATTGTAATTTGTCCAGATTTCAAATTGACCAGTTTATATGAGCTAAATATGCGATTGTGTTGTACCATACATCGACATAGAAGAAGGCCATACTCCCATTACAGTGATCTGTATCCAGGTCAGATTGTCCTATACACAGAGACAACACACCACTAGCTGTAATTAAATTTAGTCATCAAAAAGGCCATTTCTTTATCAGCATGATGTTAATACTCAATAACAATGTTCTCTCCAAAAAAGAGAAAGAAAAGAGAAAACAACGAATGCCAATCTTCACTAAAAAAATTATCAATAATCTTTAGCATGAATGATCTATTTGAAATAAGAACTAGTCAGCCTAACAAACCTGCGTCTGGATTCCAAGACTGGTATGCATCTGGGGCTGTGAAAAGGCAACTTTTGCACTTCTTGTATGACCAAAAACAGCATCAGGTTTTTTGAGTCGCTGAAAGGCAGCCATTGCATCAGAGTGGGTGCTAAATTCTACAAGCGCAAAACCTCTAATCCTCCCCTCATTCTCTGGGTCGTTTGGTACATGTATGTATTCAATATGTCCAAGTCCATAACTTTTCAATTTCTCAACCACCTAAATACCGAAAAAGAGAGAGAGAGAGAGAGAGAGAAAGACAGCACCATCAGGTCCTGAATTTAAGGCATTACAGCCATAAGTGATAGTATGTAACAGCTCCGGCAATAGTAAAGCAGGATATGACTCATTTCTAATACCATTTATATGCAATACAGTGTCCGTATAAGCAATCCATAGGGAGGAGAAAATAGTAGCAAACCAGATTTTGCTTACATGCTCTTTTGTCCATGTTTTGGAAATATTGCCTATGAAAAGTGTATCTTTGTCGTGACTCACCGAGACCTCAACAAGCTTGCCTTTCACCTAAACCATTAAAAAGGAGAGAAAAAGTTAACACTGGTAACATCACTATTGCTTTCGTGCAAAAATATGACAAATAATAGACAGGTCAAAGACAAAAATGGAGTCTACATTTAACCTCAATTCCATCCTTTAGTTCAGACAAAGCATTCTTGGTTTGTTCCATGGTAGCATATTGTATGAATGCAAATCCTTTGCTTTCATTTGTTGTTGGATGTCTCAAAATCCTTGCAGCTCTAAGTTCTCCAAACCTTCCGAAGACTTGAATCAAATCTTCTTCAACAACCTCTTTATCTAGACCACCAACATATATTTCTATCTGCTTTTGTCTCTTCCAGTCACTTAGATCATCCAGGAGTATTTTCGAAGGGGCTTCATCACCTTCATCATTACTACCATCTTTGTTATTCCCTTCATCATTAATCTCCTCATTATCTCCATCACTATTATCATCTTCGTTATCCTCTTCACCACTAATCTCTCCATTATCTCCATCACTGCTGTCCTCTTCATCATCTCCTTCACTGTTATTCTCTTCATCATCTCCTTCACTATTATTCTCTTCATTTCCTTCAAGGAACTCTAATTTCTGGAACTCTCCATCTTCATCACCATCATTGAAGTCTTTAGAAGTTTCAACAAAACAGATGCCCTTATTTTTAGCAGCAGAACTCTCCAATTCGATCGAATTTTGTTCTGAATCACCAACATCGAGACTTACAGAGTTATTAACATCAAAACCTCAATTACCACCAAAAATATTAAGTGCTTGAATTTTAGTCTATGAAAACCATATGAGAAGGCTAGAGAAGAAGAAAATAAAAAGGACAGCATCAACTTTAATTTAACCAACTCTTAACCATGTTAGAATTTAAGCGGAAAAAAATTGCAGCAGGACAATTACTAAGTTCTTTTATTAAGAATCTAAGATAATATTTTCAAAGTGAAATATCCACGAACTTCCTGCAAAAGTATAGACATGATTTCAAACAACCACTAGAAACGCAATGTCGTACATTTAGAAAACATGAAGATTCCACCCTTTCATTAAATACTAAGGAACTTGAGAACAATCTTTCTATACCAGTGTTATCCAAGTGCAAGCTAGAATCATCAGTATCACCAGCATCGTTTGCACATCCAAGTTCTCCTTTCTCCTCGCCCTTTAAACTATTATCATCCACAGCAGTATCCGCAATTTCTATCCCCTCGCCGTTTTTGCAATTCCCTTGCGAAGTACCCGCCATATCCACGTCCCCCTCGACACCTCCACTGTCCGATTCTGAATTATCTTCCGTTTCGCATTCATTATTCACGGCCACATTTTCCAGCTCGCAAGTATCCAAACTCTTCCCACGTTCCAAAATATTTTCACCACTATAATTCAGATTTCCAGCCGCGAGCTCAGCATGCAAATGAATCTCCACAGTCATATCATTAGCTTCTCCTACCACATCTGACACCAAACTCTCGTTTTCACCTAATTTATCCAAATTCGAAATTTTATTTTCAGTAATACCATCACCTGCAGAGTTTCCCCTATCATCCTCAAATGTTTCTGCCTCGGCATCCATTTCCCCTATAGCACTCACCACAGCATCAACTTCTTCAAATTTTTCATCCAACTCCTCCATTTCTAGATTACTTTCCTTCTTTACCACAGAACCGGTCATAGAAGCTTCTGGAACAGTCTGCAAGGGTTGTGAATCCTTCATGTTCTCCACGAGATTCATCTCGTCATCGCCACCTGCCTCCCGGACCGTGGCCTCATCATCCGCGAATTTGACTAGTTTCTTTCTAGATTTGCGAATCTTTCTCGGCATGGCTGAGCAAGGTTTTTCGTAAGGCGAAACTCCAAGGAATTCATGGATGCTTCTCCAATCTCTGTCCCCTGATATATCATTCTCGACTATGGGCTTCATTATGGCTGAATAATCGGCTTGAATTGATGACTGGTTCTGGAAGCCCACAACACCTAAGACTTCATTAAAGTCCAAATAGAAGAATCCACCAGATCAATTCAGACTGTAAAGTACATGGAGAAAAAGAGAAGCCCAATACAAATAGGGCTTGAAAAGTAATAAACGTTATATTTGTAATCAACAAATCAATTTTATAAATTTTATTTAAAATTTATATTAAGTTCGTTTAAAAAATAATCCAATTTTTTTAAAAAATTAATTATTTTAATTAAAATAATTTCACAAATGGCAGTTAATTAATATTTTAAAATTTTAAATGAATAAATAAATATTATATATGTTATTAACTTTTTTATATTTAAAATTATATAGTATACAACTTATAATCAATACCTTCTGCTCATATATATATATATATATACATATATTTTTTAATCAAATAATTTCCGTTTCAATGCGAATTTTTTTTTTTCATTTAACTTCTCATATATATACACATATGTACATATGTACATATGTATATATGTATTTTTTTGTTGTTTTCACACAATCAAAAAATATATGTTCTCATCATTAAAGTAAAATTACCTCCACTAAGCAGGCAAAAGCAGATTTCCACAGGTCTAGTCTACCTTTATGTATATATATATATATATAGTTAAATGAAAAATTATAGAATATGAATATCTTGACAAATATATATATATATATATATATGTGGATAATATATGTTATATTTTTACCAACTGCGTAATAAACATAAAATTTTAAATTAAAATTACGTAACAAACTATTTAGTTAAATTTTATTACAATTAAAATATTAAAATTAGAAATTAATATAAAATCAATGTATGTATTTAATTGCAATTATTGTGAAAGTAAAAAAGAAGATTAGTAGAATATAATTAGCGTTGAATAATGAGTATGAATCATGATTATTAGAGGAGATAATTAGGGATTAGTGACGGTGCGGGCATTAAATTACTAATTTCTTCTATAATTATTTTACATATTATTTTTTTTTGTTTTTACTTGGAATATTCATGAACTTGGATTTAGTTAGTGAGTGGCATCCTCCCACTCTATGCCGCATGATTAGATCTTTGATTCTCTTAATCTTTCAAATCATAGGAAAATTTGAGGCTTATATTAAAAAAAAAAAAACTTATATTTTATAGTAGCAAGTCAATTTATAATATTTAATTTATTAATATATAATTAGAATTGTATTAACCAAACTAAACTAACTATGATTTTAATAAAAAAAAAATGTTATACAACAATTAATTTTTTTTAATTAATATCGATTTAATATTTCATACTTATAAATTATATGAGATACTTTATAAATAAAATTTATTTACCAAAGATAGCATAAAAATTGAATCTTGAATAGTAAAATTAGACTAACTTCCAAAAGACTATCAATAATGCTATTAGCACTCCTAGTACTATGATATAATATGATGTGTTTGGTTAAATCCTCTTTCTGCTCTAACTCAGCCATTACCTTTTAATCTTGTAATTAATACCAATGTATTAAATTAAAACATTTTATTTCACAACTTGAACTTTTTAGAGTACATGTCTGATTTCAACTTTAATTCAAATAAAAATAAAGTTTCACCTTCATAGAACCAAAATTAAATATACAAAATATTTCATATTTTTAAACTAATATAAAAATTCAATACAAGAATTAAGTGAAAATAGAATTGGAGTGGATCCAAATACAACTATAAAAATAATAACCGGGTAAAATAAAAATATAAATAACCGGACTCAAAATAACATCTCCCTAAATATTTTTTTGATACAAATTGTCAACTTCGATTATTATTTGACATATTTATATCAATAACAACATAATTATTTTCATAAGTTCGTAACAATAACACATACGAAACGTTAACTTAGAATCACATTTTCATGAAGATGAGTCGAAATATCAATCATCCAGTCAAACTATCATCAATACTATTCTTCGGAACTTTTAAATATTCGGGAGATGTCTCTCTTTAGTTCTCGGCTTTCACAAATAAAAGCTAACAATAACAAGTGTAAGTAGTAAAAACACAACCCAGTTTTCCCAGGGGAGAAACATTTTACCTGATGCTTATATAAAGAGTGACAAGATGCAGAGCCAAAAAAAAGAAGACATTAAAAAGAGAACTACATGTGGGTCTAGAGGAACAGTTAGAATATATTTATATAATCAAAGAACAAAATCAAGTAACAATCACCACTACAACACATATAGATAGACGCAAAACTAGAAACATCATGGCTAATCATGCTCAGAAAACAAGATTTTCAAATTGGCTCACAAGTAAAAGGACAAGTGAACGTTGCAAATCACAGTGTCTCCACAAAACCTAATTAAATTTAATAGATTCTCGAGTCACACACTGTATAGTTTTAACATATTATCTGCCTCAAAGATGTCATGCTTCTGTTATAATCTTCTAGTAATTTTGTATAGAACCAATGAATATTGCGTAGTTATTTGAGTGATTATTATATAAAATTACGAGATTATCATAAAATATAAAAAATGAAAGAATGATGACTCCGAAGCACCATAATAACACCCTTGTGTAATTTTCTTTCCATTATCATTTAGAAACAGCCAGGTTTCATTTCTGACATTCTAGTGTCATTATATCTCATAATAGTAAAGCTCTGAAAACTATTCCAAAGATTCAAATATTAAAATATTGAAAAAGGGAAATGAGCAACGACTAAAACCAGTTAATTTTGGAATCAAGTATCACCTCTACATATATCTTATATGGGTGGTGTTAAAATTCAAAAACAATCAAAAGCAGTATAAGTGGAAAAAGGAAAGGATAAATGATAAAAAAGAAAGTTAATAATGGGGTTTTATTGAAAGTGTGAAAGATTCTTGTAGAAAGTAAGTCCTGTCCTATACACTAATCATTATACTTCCATGGGCTTTAACAAAAACAAGTGGGGTGAACAATGAAGCCATACCATACAAGTGAAAAAGCTTTCTTCCAGTTGGTGAGCAGTCAGCATTAGTTGGTCTTGCCGACAGGGTCCTGTGTCTCTCCACCAAATTTGCTTAGTACAAACAAAGCAGAGGTAAAAAGAATTAACACTATATCTATACTCTACTGTATTACCAATTAATTTCATTCAAATCAAAAGGGTGAAGATATAAATCTATTTCACTTTATACCCAAAAAAGAAAGAAAAAAACCCAATAGCCTCCTAAGAAACACTTTACTTTAAAAGGAAAAGGAAGAGACTTTACTGCTTAAAAAAAGTGGGATGAAGAAATATAACCCTATGCATGAAGAGATGGTGGGTTTAAAGTTGAAATTCCTTTATGAGATTTCCCATGATAGGAGAAAATGATAGGGTTTGGTCTTAAAAAGGGTAATGAAATTACCATCAAAACGGGTAACATTAAAGAAGTGACGGTATAAAGGAACCTGCACTGTTGTGCCACTACTGGAAAATAATGTAATGACCATCCAAGTACCGCATAATCAATTTTGGCCTGCATTCCATAATGTTTGCTTTTCACTTTCTTGCGTTTTATATATTTTCTGCAGTTTCTATAATCATGGACTATTATGTGACTATGTCTAACATGCATAAACAGTCTGGATGGTGTCACCTCACCTGCTAGAAATTTTGATTTTTGAGCTCTATTTCCAAGTTTCTATCTGCAAGTGAATATCGAAATAAAGTCAGCTCGGTAGCAGTTCTGCAAATTGTTTTTCATTGTTTCTCTCACTCTCTCTTTTAACTGTAAATATGGATGCCTGGCACAGTGGAAGTTTAAAAATATCTTTTATCTAAGGCATGCTGATATGAATTTCTACTATTTAATTGCAGAACAATGAACATGAATGGAACAGAATGGAGATACAGGGTTGAGTTTGTGCATATATTTAGACAAGCAGAAAATTGATGTGATATAAGCATCCCTAGATTCCATCGCTGGTACCACCAACCTGCTGAGATGTAATAAACAATGTTGGCCGAAAATATAGAGCCTGGAAAATAGTACAAGTTCGTTGCAATATCTCTATCAACCATCTTATGTGCCTGCTCATACGACAAGCCTCCTTGCTTCTGCTTTCCTCAATACTTTGTGGCAATCATAGATAACCTCTAACTGGTACACTGCAAAATGTCAATTTTCGAAATTGACATAGAAAAAGTTTGAAAAAGGGCCCAAGCTGAGTAAAAAGGTCATTATAATAGACATTTAAAAGACAACTTACCGGATGCTGTGGGATGCAAACTTAGCAAAGCCAATAAACAAAGGCCTCTTGGTCCTCACTTTCTTTATGTGAATAAGACAACCAAGCACTGAAAATTTTCCACTGTTTACGCTGAGGATCCACATTTTCACAACCAAACAGCTCAGGCCATGCAGCTGATTTAAATCAGCAAGAAGTTCTTCAACAAAATATTTGTTTTTGAGTTCATCCAAGGTTGACCCATGTGGTAACTCATGTCTGGTTTGCCATACACCCAATCTGCACATAAACGATGCTGTCAAACCCCTATGCCAACTATATTTCTCTTTCTCTAACAACTTTTTAAGGAAAAGTCCTATATTCCACTAAAACAGATTTTTGTCATTTCCTTCTACCATCAAACAGTTGAACTGTGCAACATGAGTTACATCATCAGTTCTATGATAGATCTAACTAGTAGCTTTTTGTCTTCTCCATGTTTAAGGATTTCTCTAAAGATCAAAGGATTCTGTTCCACATTGAGTTACTAGATTGCAGCAAAAAGCTGGTGTTCTTATGAATGTAGAAACACTAGTAGTTGGTATTCTTCCGACAATTGAAAGGGCAGGGGAGAGAGAAAGAATATTAGAAAAGTGAATTTGAATTCAAATTCTAATCATAAGGAGCTAGAACAAAATCTGCTCAGTTCCCATAAGGAAAGGGCCAAACACATGCTATAGAGCTACATATACATTCCATTTTGCTCCAGATATCAAATGATGATATTGAAAGCTTCATTATGTGGACTCCACTTAGTGGAAAAGGACAAGGATCTATGTAGGAAATTAGTCAAAAGAATTCTCAGTCTAGTTCTAAGGAGAGTAATACTGCCTTTTGATGAAAAGGAACTCAATGAAGCTTAGTTATTTCGACTACCATCTCTGATTATTAACCTAGGGTAAAAATGCATTTCAGTTAATGTAACATCCGACGTGGATAATTCATCACAACTGGGTGATTGATTTACAGAGAAAGATGTACATAGAAGCCCATACAATAGAAGAATTGCAGATTTTTTCTAGATTTTGTCCTTTTAGCCAGTTATGCTTGTTATACCCAATGGTACTTCATACAATGAGGCATCCATATTCAGCATCAATTAATAATAGGATGCTCTCCTTGAAAAAATCACATGGATTTTAGCCAAGAAGCAAAGAGCAAATCCAATAGTGGCAGGTTAGGTGTAGTAGTTATACTTATTCTGCCCTATTTAGTAATTAACAATTCATGCACTGAAATGTTAGAAAAGTAAGTATAAGTGTACAAATGAGGTTAAAAAAAGGGACTTTAGTTGCAGAAAATAGAAAATGAAAAATATAACAGGAAGTCCAGGAGAAAAAACTGCCAAACTTTAATCTGCGAGTTCATTTTAAGAATTCCCCGGTAATGAAAGATGCAAACCAAAAACTAGGCTAAAAAGTTAAATAACAGGTAGGTCATGAAGGCACCAGTGCTACTCTGGTTTATGACAGGGAATGTCAAGGATTATTGCACTTCCATTGGCAGTCACAGCATCATTGTCCATCAAACGACGAAAGCACGTGTTGGGACAAGTGATGAGTACTTTAGATTAGCTCGAGCCTCCAATATGGCAGTACAACTGTCCATGCTTGTGCAAACTCGATACCAGAACAACACCAAGCGCTGTTGTAAACAGTTAAGAAGCATTCTACGTTGGTCTGTAGAAGACCAAGTCTTAGGATGAGTACACACGTTTTACTTCCATCTTCTTTTCTGAGTTTCCTTATTTAAAGTTAAACAGGAGAACATCTCATCATTGTCTTTTTTTATGCCCAGGTATCAATAGATAGAATGCTTCTTTTAGATCAAAAATAGAATATCTCCATAGGTATGTAAGGCACAACTCTTAAATAAACATTCATGCTGTAGCCAGAGAGATATAGCAAAGGTGGGGAATGACAACAAGTCAGAAGAAACAGATACATCAGTTTTTCTTTTTCTTCCATTTAAAATAGGTGTTCCGTTCTCCCCTAATTTCTCTTTTTTAACTCTATCAAAGGCAATTTCATATTCAAAGCACAGGAAACAGATACATCAGGCAGAGAAAAGAACCAAACGGCTTATGATTAAATTTATTGAACAGATTTAAATTTTATAAGCGGAGTAAAAAAATGATTTCCTTCAACTTGGTAAAAACAAAATCAAGCAAAAGCAGATTGATACAATCTGTAACCAAACCATCCTAGTAAAATGTTACAAATGTTTTCTATCATCTTTATGGCAATTTTATAAGTTTATAAATAAGGTAAGTGTTTCTTTCATGCCCAACTTGAGGAGAAGATCAATGGTTCACATGAATCATGCCAGTACATGTTTCGAGTAAGGCATTTTCGTGTCTGATCCCTATATATACTTCACTCTGAACCTTGTCTCTCCAAAAATCTTCTACTAGAGGTGAGATGGACAAAAGAGAAGAGTAATTGGAAAAGAAAAAATTGAATAAATCCTAAAATCTAAGAATTCTACAATAGTTAAAAAGAACACATTACGCAGATGTGGTGTCAGCAAAGACCTCATTGAGCATGTCATCCTCACCACTTGTCATGGCAAATAGTTCTGCATCCTTTTCTTCTTCGTTAGAAAAATCTCGCCTATCAAGCTTTGCATGAGCTGCAATAAAGATCATCTTTTGGGCCTTCTCAGTGCCTACTTGTGAGTGTCTGTGGACACAGACCCATTTCATGAAAGACCAATTGCACTTAAAACCACACGAAGTAGCATGGAGGAAGATGAGCCTAGCTGCAACTTTCCCTAGTGACTTGTATTCACTAAGGCAAGTTTCCCATACTAATCTACTGCTCTGAGGGTTTGCAATTTTCATTTTGCCGGTCACGGGATCTCGTTGTTTAACCTGAACAGCCTGGGCATAAAGCGGGTCTAGCCCTTCTGTCCTCCATTTCATTAGCTCCATCAATGCAACATGAGCTTCTTCCCCGGAAACTAGTCTGGTAATGAGCTTATCCACATCCTTCTCCTGCTCATTTGTCAAGTATTTGAATGGTGGAAGATATTTTCCATTCACATCCCTTATTAAGTGCAATGGATCAAGTATAAAGGCTGCTGACCATGCTGGATGGTAGTTCTTTCTGAATCTCTTCTCGACTATTTTCTCAACAGCTACTTCAGTTATGCTGAATTTGGCACACCACTCCTTTACTTTAACTCTCAACTCCTCCCAGAGAGGAAGACATTGCCCCACTAAAGGCCTTTCAGCTTCAATTTCTTGAGCCATCCCTCTTATAAGCTTCAACAGTGAATAAACTGCCTCCAACTCATGCCAAAACACCTCGCTTTGAATCATCCCAGCAACTTCCCTGGCAGTTGGATCTTCCACATACACCACCTTATATGATTCATCCAAGACAACCATTTGGAATGCCCCGCCTAGGCTAAATACATCCTCTAACAGTGCAAAAACAGCCGCATGGTTCTTTCTGCAAGCACACATATTTGAAGGTACTCTAATCAACCCACCATGTTCAAGCTCCTGCATTTTGTACTTCAGGAAAGTATTCCTAAACTGAGACTTACTATTTACAAAATTTGCAAGCTTCAAGCAATTTTCAATGACAGTCCTGAAAAGAGGAAGCTCGTTGCTGAAATCTTTAATCAAAGTAACAAACCCTTGAAGCTGACAAGAGAGATTAATCATCCAATGATGTTGAATCTCCAAGCTCCTCAAAGCCTTAGTTTTATACTTATCTGCAACTATTCCAACACATCTCTGCACACTATTCCCGCAAATCTCCACCACTGTTTCCCACAAAACTTCCTCTGCATGCTTAGACGTGACTGATTCTCCAGTCAACACTGCCTTCTGGTACACTCTAGTCCCATTCGGGAGATTAACACTAAACTTAACCAAATTCTCTTCTCCACGAGGGAAGCTACAATGACTCTCGTTCTTCCAGCCTTCGCAGGCAATCTGAAAGAACATGGCATCTCTGATCCTAGCTTCTGACTCTCTTTTCGCTTCTTGAAACTTGGTATCTAGCCGAGGACCTAAGAAGTCTCTCCTTGAAACAGCAGGTAACCCCACCTGGTTAAGGAAGGCACGAAACTTTGGATGCTCTAAACTCGAAAATGAGACCGACCCACATGACTCGTAAAACCAATCTGCCAATAATTCAAATGCAGAATCAATCTGCTCCTTGCTTAAAGCTAAAACAGGTGATGTTTTTGGACTCTTTAGCTTCTTAACACTGTCTTCTAACATTGCCAATGCACCCAAATCCTCTTTTCCACCTGACAACATCAAATGCTGTTGCCGAGTGTCATTCACCGCGTTTTGTGCAGGCGGGTAACCAAGTTCATCGCAAAACCGAGTGGACTCAACTATGGCGAGTGAATTAACGTGGCGTTGAGAAGAAGAAGAGGAAGGAGGATTACGCATTTGATAACTTCGCTTCCTATGATTTTGCAGAGAAGAAGGAGAGGCTACAGATGATATCGGAAGCGGAGAAACTGACGAACTTGGTCGTAGAAGGTGGGTGCTGAAATTGGGGCAAGTGCCTCGTTTGAGATGCTCCGATGCGGTTCTCGACGGGTTGGATGCGGAGAACACTGCATCGCATAACGAGCACTTGAGTTTCACTGCTTTGGGAAGATTAGTATCTGGGTTCCGAATCAGAATTGGTTCCAAAAACGCCCAATACCAAGCTCCTTTTCCCTTTGTAGCTTTGGTTCGAACCATTACCAACCCTTCATATCGCTTGTTCATTGCTTTCGCTGCAGTGTCCTCAGCCGAAGATGAAGGTTCTGCAGGCGTTGAATTCGAAGAAGCCATGAAATTAGACCCCACTCACTTTCTTTCTCCCTCTTCTTGATGTGATCTTAAGCTATTTTACACTCTGCCAGTACGTTTTACGATGAAGATGATCCATAATCCTACCGAGAAACGAAAAGAGTTGTGGGTTTTTATGGGTTTATTTACGAGAACCCAGAAGAGAATTTAAGTCATGGATAGAGAAACTGCAGAGAGTTTGTGAGGAAATTCAAATTTGTGCAGGTGAAAGTTTGATGTTGAAAGTTAAAAGAGAGACGAGGAAGGAGAGAGAGAGAGAGAGAAAAGGAAGAAGAAAGAGAGAGAAAGGGACTGTGGTAATGATATGAAGCTGGTAATCAATTTAAAATGGATGACACAATTATATCAAATATTCAATTCTTGGCTCTACCAAGTGCTCTGCTTCATTTACTGAAAGTAACACTTTTAACCAATAAATTTCTTATTTTTTTTAAATATTTTAAATCATTTTTTGTTATATAAATATTAATTCTTTATAATTTTAAATATTAATTAATTAACATAATTATAACACAATAAAAAATATTCTTATTATTAATCAATTGTGCATAATAAAGCAGCTTGTTCCTATTGATTCCAGAAATGTTTCAAAGCAGAGCAATGAATGCTGGTTTAACTTTTTTCTGATTGCGTTTAAGAATAATAATACAATAAAAAATTATTAAAAATAGTTAATTGTGTTTTTTTTTTTCTTCTTATTTTTCCAGAAACCAGCATTAGCCCGCGGACTGTTTCTGGCGCGTGTCGCAACCCTCCAGATAGCAACAGTAATGAGATCTGCCGTACCAATAAACCCGAAGAACGAAGGAGAGATTTGTCCGTTGACCCCGGTTTGACCCAAAAAGAAAAATGGGGCAGATACGTTGCTTCACTTGTCTAGTTGGCAACCTTGTCCCTACGCCGACCAGTGCTGGTCACGCGACGAACTCGCACGTTGAAATTGCCTTTTAAAAAAAAAATAAAAAACCTTTTAAACCAGGATATATGCATTAAATAATTTTAAAAAGTAATTTTTTAAAATCAGAAATTATTAATTAATGAATTATATAATACATAAATATTATTAATAATACAATATAAATAATAACTTACAAGTAATGAGATGTAAAGTGTAATTTAATTCGAATACGTAATTTTATATAAATAAATAAATTATTAAAAGTGTATATATATATATATAAGTTGATAAAAAAAAAAACAACAACAACAAATTTAAAGAAATAAGTATCAATTGCATCAACTCAATAAACTACATATAATGTAAACCCAACACAAGCTACGTACGCGTAATAAATTTTGTAACTTTGTATAATGAATTTAATTATTGTGTATTGTATATTGTATATTTAAACAAAGTTTAAAATGCCCCTAAAAAACTTTTTAGTAACAATAATAATAATATTTCAACTGCCCAAATATTTTGTTATCACTCATTTAGGAGCTAAGCTAAATTCAAAAAAATGTAAGTATTTCCTAACTCTTATATATATATATATATATATATATACATATATATATATTTTTTTAACCATTTACCCACTTTAGCATTTTACTCATTTAGTTGGTACCCCCCCACATGGTGTAAAAATTACCATGATGATTAAAACAGCGGGTCAAATCTTTTTATGATACGTCGAGATTTGATTTTATATATATATATATATATATACACACATATAAAGATATATAATGGCTGAGACGTGGATTAATATGAAGGAAAAAAAAGTCAAAAAGGTAGCTTTATTTGGGTGAGAGGTGACGGCATTTTCACCTAAAGCAAGTTTCGTTGTCTACCCTCTTAATCTTTGATTATTTATTTAATTATATGCTAAGCATGATTTCATTTTTTTTAATGATAAAATTAGAACTTCATTAAGCAAATTTTATTTAAAGGACTAGTGAATTCAATAGTAGCATTTTAGCTTTTCTAGATATATTGATGGACCCATTTAATTTTAACTTCATTTATTACTTATTATATATGGTTTTCAAGATTCCCATAATTTGTCAATGCTCATGAAAATTTGCGTTGATATTATATTATATATACATATATGTTGGAAATATGGAAACATGTAATAGACTTCTCAAATTGATATACATTTTTTTTAAAAAAAATTAAAATAATATACATGTCATTCCTATTCATATCTAGTTTGATTTATTTATTAATTATTATTTAGTTGAATAATCATCATATTTATTTATTTATTTATGAGAGTTTATAAATTTGAAATGCACTATATTTTTATATATTTTTTTATTTTAAGGTTTGAAAATTATTTCTTCATATTATGTATAAATTTATATAAAAAAATTATTTATCTAATATTCTATCAAATACAAATAATATTAACTGAAATTAATTATATATCATGATTTACTCAAAATAATATTAATATTTAGAAAGTGCCAAAGTCAGACTTTTCAATTTTAATAATATCAACAAATAATCATATCATTAATATTGAACTTTTTTATTAATTTAAAATGTTTGAGCAAACATTCCTATAGTAGACTATTTTGAATAATATCAAAATAAAATCTTATAATTCCATTACCCACCTGTTTATGAGTGATTAAATTATGGTGTGTGTGTATATATATGTATTATGTGACATCCAAGGTGTCTCATGACACACATCATATTCAAACACCTTACTTATGATGTCATCCAAATCAACTATACTCTATGCATTATAATCATCAAGTTTATCTAACAAAATATTCATCATTCATTTTATAGTTCCACTATATCAAAGTAACTAATGAAAGAAAAGAAAACTCATGAAAGATTTCTATTTACTACAAGAATATAAAATGAATAGATGTCCTATATAATCCAGTAAACATTCATCTTTCTATTTACTCGCTTTCCCTATGTATAATCTCACAAGTTAGGACTTTGGTTTTGCCTCGAGTCTCACTGCACCTGTAAATAGTTAAGAAACCGATTGTTTTAGTTGTTGTTGAGGAAAGCTGGACAATTCACACCTTTAGTTGATTTTCATTGATTAATCAAACGAGAAAACAACTAAATTTATAAAGCTTGGCTGCTCCTTACAAGAATTTAAAAGCATACACACACCACAACAAAACAAAGAGCATTTGCAGAAGATCAAAAAAAAAATGTACAGAGGATAATGAAGGACATCAATGGCTTGTAAGAAGGGACGATTGTGTTCCAGTTATTGGCCATGTGTGCTTTATTTGGAACCTAGATGTTGAGTTGGAATGCTAAATGGGATCATTTGCTCACCTGGACAAGTTTACACACTCGTCCTCTTGAGCTTGCTGATAACGGCCAGTCTCCAACGGTTCAATATTCTCCACATTCCCTCTCAAACTTATCAAGGGAAGTGGTCAGCCAACTAGTCCAAGTTTTTTCTCTGAAATACTTTACTTGTGTGTGTGGCAGAGCTTTGGTGAAGCAATCGGCTGTTTGATCACACGAAGGTACATATCTGATGTCGAGAACACTTTTTGTCACTTTGTCACGAATGAAGTGAACATCTACTTCAATATGTTTGGTTTGAGAATGGAAGACGGGATTGCTGGCAAGGGCTACGGTGCTCATGTTGTCACACCAAGCTATCAAAATCTTTGGGATAATAACGTTTATTTCTTTGAGTAAAGACTCTAACCAAGCAATTTTTCAAGATATATGAGCTAGGGCCCTATACTTAGATTTGGCACTTGATCTTGACACAACGTTTTGTTGCTTTGAGCTTTAAGAAACTAGATTTTCTCCAAGGTAAACACAGTAGCCAGAAGTTGAGCAACGATCATCCTTTGAGCAAGGCCAGTCTGCGTTTGAGTACCCGACAATACTTAATATATTGTTAGGTCTAATATGAAGGTAGATATCAGTTGTTCTTTTCAGATATATGAGCACTCTTCTCAGGGCTTTCATATGAAGATCAAATGGTCTTTGCATGAACTGACTAACTTTATTGATGATGATCGATATATTCAGCCTTGTGTGGGTCAGATATTAAAGAGATCCTATCATTTTTCAGTAGGGAGTCAGATCAGTCAGTTCTTCTCCTTTTTCAATAATTAGATTACTTCTAATCACTGTTGGTATAAGACATGGTTTGGCAGAGTGCATGTTGCTTCTTTTAAGGAGTTCTTCAGTGTATTTTATTTAGGTTAGGAAGAGTCTAATGTCATTATGTGTTACTTCGATGTCAAGAAAAAAAATGGATGTCATTAAGATCCTTCAATGGAAATAGGTCATAAAGTTGACTGATAAAGCTCTGCATCTTATCAGGCTTGTTTCCTATAGCGATTATATCATCAACATAGATTAATATGAAAATTTTAATTATTTCAGTGACAAAGAAAAAGAGAGATGTGTCTGTTTGTGAGTTTTTGAAGGCCCATTTAAGCAATGAGGATTTGAGCTTGTCAAACCAAGCTCTTGAGGCTTGTTTGAGTCTATAGAGTGCTTTGTTAAGTTGACAAACATAATTGGGATGTATAAAATCTTTAAAGCCTTCAGGTTGCTTCATAAATACTGTCTCTTTTAGTTTTCCATTTCGGAAGACATTGTTCATATCCAATTGTTTAACGTTTCACCCATTTGTGACTGCTAGAATCAATATTACTCGAAGTGTTGGTGCCTTAATCACTAGGTTGAAAGTTTGGTGAAAATTTATGTAAGGTGTTTGATGAAAACCTTTTGCCACTAATCTAGCTTTTCACCATTGAAAACTTCCATCTGCATTCGTCTTGATTGATTTTGTAGACCCATTTGTTTCCAACAAGATTCATTTATGAACGATAAAGAACCAACTTCCAAATCTTATTATTTATGAGGGCGGTCATTTCTTCTTCCATTACCGATTTTCAATGAGGGTTGTTAATGGCTTTTGTGATTGAAGTGGGTGTTGTGAGATATTTACCTTTGTTGCTAATTAAAGTCTTGTGATATGTTTCTTAGTCTAAAGATCCCAACTTGAGCTCTGGTCATCATCTGGTGTCTCGGAGCTTCTGTTAAAAGTGTCATATGTTTACACTCTTTCTTCTATTTGTTCTTCTAGTACCATGCTTTTATTCGAAGGGGATTCTGGTTCTTGTTGTGATATGTTGTCGCTAACTGGAGAGTCTCTTAATAAGTGTTGCGGTGAAGTCTTTGCCATAGGGGAGGATGCTAGTGCTGTAGCTTCTAAGATGTCTTGGTTACTTGTGCTCCCAGAAAAGGGTAAAGCTGATGAAAGGTTAGAGGATATGTTGAGCCACAATGGTAGTGTGATTCTAAAGGGCATTTCAAATTTATGAGTG